CGGTTTTCACAGGGAGAGGCAGCATCAGTCTTTGAGAGAACGCCGGTCTGCTTGCATCCTGTGCTCACACTGTCATCAGGAGCAACAAAATGTGCAAGTTTTTAAAATCAGAAATGAACATGCCATAGTTTGGGGATACAGGATTTTGTTGTTTTTTTTGTTGTTGTTGAGGACCTGGCTCCCTTTGATTATGACACTCCCTGTTTTCAAGTCCTGTGGCTTCTCTTCATCCCTGGTCCTTGCCCCAGTCTTCCAGGACGGCTGATCTGCCTCTCTCTCTCCCCCACCTGCCTCTCCATACTCACTCCTAGCCCCTGGGCCTTGCACCCACTCCAGCACCCTGGGCTCCTTGCTCAACCTAGAAGACAGCAGTGCTCCCTGGCCTCAGGTCTCTACCAGGCTCCCCAAGTCCCTCAGTGCTCCAGCGTCCCCTGACCACCCTTCCTCCAAGCCACGGATGCCAACCAGCATCATTGTGTGTATGTATCTTTCATGTGTGTGTTGCATGTCCCCCACCCAACGCCAGCACCCTGAGAGCAGGGCTGCTTTGTTCTGTTCACCGCTGGGTCCCCGGCATTTAGAATGGCACCTGGTGTTTGCTTGCCATTTGCTGAGTGAATGCACAGTTGAAATGACTAAAGCTAAAGCTAATTGACTAAAGCTGGCAATATTGAAACAAGTTTAAATTTAAGTACAAAAGTGCTGCAGGAAGATAAGTGATTAGATCGGGGAGGATACGAAAGAATTGGATTTTAAGCCTCCCGTAAACATTGTGAGGCCTGTACTCCAGCTAGGATCGGACTCAGTGGGGTGGGTAGCTTGCTTTCCTTTAGGAACCAGCCTCCTGGCCCCTTGCCATTAAGGCTGATGGGGACCTCCCCGCCTCCTATGGTATCTCCGGTTCAGAGAACGAGAACTCAGGCAGATGGTGCTGCTTGGCCCTCCCAGTGCAGCCACCCACCAAAGCTCATTCGCTGTTTGATGTGGGGGTTGGGAAGAATAAGAACAGAGCCTGCAGACTCCATCTCCTGCTGCCAAAGCCCTAAGGCCCAGGATGAGAATGGGGGGGCACGAGGGAGGCCCAGAAGTGGGGCAGGAGCCTGGTCTTGGAGCCGAGGCTGGCACTTCCAGTGGCCGAAGAGGTTCTTGGGATGTGCATGGATTTCCAATTCCATGTAAGGGGTGCCAGGAGAACGGTAGTGAATTAACAGCTTCTTCCACGACACAGATGGAAAAGTCACTTTTATTTTAGGCCTGACGATTTTCTTCCTCTGTCCCCCCCCACACCGCCAAGCGTCAGTTCCATCCCAGAAGAGTAACCTAAAGGGACAGCTGCAGAAGCACGGCCTCCACACAGAGCCCAGAGGCTTTGGGCTGTTCACACTGGCTTTTTTTTTTTTTTTTTTTTTTTGAGACGGAATCTCTCTCTGTTGCTCAGGCTGGGGTGCAGTGACACAATCTCAGTTCACTGCAACCTTCGCCTCTTGGGTTGAAGCAATTCTCCTGCCTCAGCCTCCTAAGTAACTGGGATTACAGGTGCCCACCACCACGTCCGGCTAATTTTTTTTTTTTTTTTTTTTTGTACTTTTAGTAGAGACAGGGTTTCACCATGCTGACCAGGCTGGTCTCTAACTCCTGACCTCAGGTGATCCACCCACTTCGGCCTCCCAAAGTGCTGGGATTACAGGCATGAGCCACCATGCCCAGCCCATGCTGGCATTTTAAAAGACACAGTGCTCTGGTGCTCCCCTGGGCATGACCTAAAACGACTGTTCTGTGCCTGGAGGAACTGAGTTGGGGAGTTGGAGCCTGGCAGCCTGGCGTCTGAGTTTCCTCTGTGTCAGCTCCCCAGAAAGCCCTCATGGGGACAAACAGAGCTCAGGAAAAGCTGAGGGCATGGCCCACTTCTAGGCAGTGTTAATTATGGGCTCTGGAGTGGTATTTTCTTGTCCTCAAGTCACCAGCCTCCAGGGCTGCTGATGGAGACTGAATTGTCCCGAGGCCTCCCAGGCCCCTCCTCTGACCCTGCTCCTGACACCTTGGCCTGGCTTGTGCTGTTCCGTGGAGCGGTTGCTGGGCGGGAGAAGGGGGGACGGGATGGTGTCCGGGTGGAGGCTGGCAGAGTGGGCACTGCTGCCTGTGAGTCAGGGGGTTTCACAGCAGAAGATGCCCCTGTGTGGGCTGCGATGGGGATCTCGAGGGGAGGCAGGCACTACCCCCTTTGGGTCTGAGGCTGCTGGCAGGAGGTTCCAGCCCACCTGGGCCTCCTGGGGCCTCGCCCTAGGTTGATTGTCTTTCCCTCCCTGGAAAGTTCATCTGCCCGCCCACAGGTGCATGCACATACGTGCACAGTCCCCCGAAGGCCCTGGTGAACAGTTCTCTCTTTCCAGCGGAGTCTCATTGTGTTTTGCAGACTTCATTCTTCCCAGCTCGTTTGTGAGGCGAGTAAGGGGTATCATTACCACTCTTTACTTGTTAAGTTGCCCAAGAGAGGAAAAAAAAACAAACAAGAAAGTTTTTCCTCCTCCAAGAGTCTAATTACTTGTTTGCTAAGTCTCGACCCATATACATTTCCAAAGAGAGATACTCGATGCCTGCCGAAGAAATGTCCTTGGGCAGGTTTCAGAGACCCTCTGTCCGCCATCCTGCCGTCTGCCAGCACTGCAGCTGGCCAGGACTGCTGCCAGCACTTTCCGGGGAGCTTAGGAAACTGGTTCTTGCAGTGGTCCTTGCAGCAGTCCCCACCCGCTGCAGCCGTCCCTGCTCTGTGCCTGCTCTGCCTCCGTCTGGACATGCCATGCTGCTTTCTGCTGCCCTGCCTCCGTCTTTTCTGTCTCTGTCAGAAAAGAGACGTTCCCATTCCACCTTCCACATTTCATGTTCCTTGTCTTGTCCCCTCACCACCCCCAGGTAACACCCGCCCCTCGGAGAAGGCTCTGTACCTTTTACCTGCTTCGATTTTTGCATAAAGACATTGACGTGTATTTCTTGATCTGGCTCCTGTGCCTCCTAGACCGTGAGCTCCTTGAGGTCCAGGTCTCCTCTAGCTTGCCTCTTTACCTTCCACACCTGGCTAGTTCCTGAACACAGTGGAGTGTGCTGAAGAGGGTCCTCAGGGTGGGGCGCTCACCCTCCTGAATGGTGAAGGCTCAAGTATGTGCTTCTGATGTGTCCCTCACCCAGCTTCCAGGTTCTTGATTCTGATGCCCTACCCGCTGTCAAATTTAACATCTGCCTCCTGGATAGTGCCAGCCCATCTTAGGACTTGTCAGTCTCCCTGTCTTGGTCCATTTGAGCTGCCATGACAAAGCACCTTAGACTGGGTAATTGATAAACTGGGAAATGGATTGCTTACAGTTCTGGAGGCCGGGAAGTCCAAGATCAAGGCACTAGCAAATTTGGCGTCTGGTGAGAGCTGCTCTCTGCCCCGGAGATGAGGTCTTCTGGCCAAGTCCTCACGTGGCAGAGGGGTAAAAGGGGCAACCAGCTCCCTCAGACCTCCTTTCTTTACCAGGGCACTGACCCCATTTGTGAGAGCTCCATTCTCATGACCTAATTTTCCTCCCAGAGGCCCCACCTCTTGATGCTATCACACTTGGGATTAAATTTCAACATATGAGCTTTGGAGGCACGTAAACACCCTCTTAGCTGTGTACTGCTTGGTCAGATTTGGTTTGGATTCTCTCCGTTCGTTCATTCTAATTCTTCCACGCACTGGCCACGGTTTTAGGCATGGGGCCTGTAGAGATGACCAACACAGATGTGGCCCCTGCCCTTGCGGGACTCCTGTTGTACTGGGGAGAGACAGAAGGAGAAGCAAGTCAACTGCTAAGTTGGATAATGTTGAGGAATGAGAGCAGTGTGGAAACGTAGGCTCTGCTCCTGGATGGGGTGTGGGAGCTCACGGTGCAGAGAACACGTGGGGTGGGAGGTCTTGGGCAGCCATCCTTAGAGAAGATGCCTGGACACATTCTTTTTTATGTTTCTACTCTCCTGCTTGTAAGAATGTCCTTAAGTAGTCTGACAGAAAAAAATCTCCTGAGTATGTAAGGTTCCTCCTGTTTGTTGATGTGGTCAGATTTTTTTTTGTTTGTTTTTGGAGAGACGGGAGTCTCACTCTGTCGCCCAGGCTGGCGTGCTGGAGTGCAGTGGCCCGATCTCAGCTCATTACAACCTCTGCCTCCGAGTTCAAGCAATTATCCTGCCTCAGCCTCCTGAATACCTGGGACTACAGGCGCATGCCGTCATGCCCAGCTAATTTCTCTTGTATTTTAGTAGAGACAGGGTTTCACTATGTTGCCCAGGCTAGTCTCGAACTCCTGAGTTCAGGCGATCTGCCTGCCTTGGCCTCCCAAAGTGCTAGGATTACAGGTGTGAGCCACTGCACCTGTCTGATGTCATCAGACTTTATCATGGATGTTTGGTTAAATCAGTCAGGGGAAGCTGGTCCCCACAGCGCACACTTGCTGGGGAGACATACCCCAGGCTGTGGGAGGCAGGTGAGGTGTGCTCCCAGCAGGGATGGCAGACAGGGAACACCTAAATGTTGCAGCAGCAAGAATGCTGCAGAGGCCACAGTGGGCTGAGCGCCGGCCTCAGTGCTTTGCCGCAGAGTCTAAGGATGTGAACCTGGTGTCCAGTGAGCCTTGTAGCTCGGGGCCTGTGGCACAGGACTCTTCGTGCCACTTGGCTGTGGGCAGCCGAGCACCCTGACCACTGCCTGATGTGGATGGCCAGATGGTCAGGGAGCAGTTGTCCCAAGTGCAGCCATACCTTGAAGACCAGGTAAGAGAACATTCAGGAAAACATTGACATTCACAAAGCTCTGGAAGTGCTTAGAAACCACCAGTTGCTTCATTTCTCCAGATAATACCTGTGGTGTCAGAGAAGGCAAACACTGGTTACCCTGGGCCAGGGGTCACGGCCAGCCCTTTTCGTGGGAGCGGTGCGCCCTGCCCTCTGTTCCCCGCTCTAACTCTCTGTCCCCTTTGGCCTGACAGGTGAAGACATGCACCTGTGGTGCCCCTCACTGCAAGAGGTCAGGGAGGCATTCCACAGCCTGGGTGCCCACAGTCCCGCCCTGTACCCTCTGGGGCCCTTTTGGCACGGTGGCAGGTGAGTACTTCTCCTTCCTCACTGCCTTTTTCTTTCATTCTTTTTAAGAGACAGCGTCTCCCTGTCACCCAGACTGGAATACAGTGGTACAATCATAGCTCACTGCAGCCTCCACCTCCCAGGCTCAAGTGATCCTCCCACCTCAGCCTCCTGAGTAGCTGCCACTACAGGCACGCACCACCACGCCTGGCTAATTTTTTAATTTTGTGTAGAGGTTGGGGGGTCTCCATGTGTTGTCCAGGCTGGTCTTGAACTCTTAGGCTCAAGGGATCCTTCTGCTTCGGCCTCCCAAAGTGCTAAGGTTACAGGTATGAGCCACCCCACACCCAGCCACCTGTTGTCTTGTTTGTTTGGAAGGTGCTGGACTCAGGCTCTTTCCCATGTGTAGGGAATTGCAGAACAACCACACACCCCCACCTGTGGATGTGAGTATCACACCAAGAAGGAATTTCCTTGCTCCCGGCCTCGGGCAGATGGGAAGCCCCCGGGATGGACGAGCCTGTTTTTGGCACTTTCTGACTCAGCCTCTGCTGCCTGCTCCTCTCTGGTGAAACCCAGACTTCAAAGCCTGGTTAATATCCTTGCAGACACATCCCAGTCCCTTGAGTCTCTTCAAGCCACTTGTTTGGCCCCTACCTGGTATCCACTTGGGAACAGCGGGGCATGCTTTTCCGTTCCCACAGCCCTCAGTTTTGTGTTGTGAGTGCCCCCGTTGAGCCCCGGGCTGGCTTGCTGGTGGACAGTCATGGTCATTTGCCTTTGCCTGGTCCCTGCCTGCGGGGAGGAGCGCCACGTGATGCATAAGTAGCTCTGGTAGGCGGATGGTGACTTAGCTTAAGGTCGTAAAAGTGTTATACATCATCATCTTGTTCTGCACATTTTAGCACATCCAGACTCTCTGGAACCCTTGGAGAAGGTGATTTGAGATGGAACAGAGTGTTTTGAAGCCTGGAGGGGCTGTCGTATAGGACGCTTCCCGCCCCCCACCCCGTGCTTCCCACTGACAATCTCTCAGCCCCAGGAGGTGCCAGGCCCCCCTTCCCTCGCCTCAGCGGGCAGATGTTCCTCTGCATGGAAAGTGGGAGCTCTCCTAAGAACCTGTTCCACGACTGTGTTTAGCAATTGTCTGCCAAGCCAACCCGCACTCGGCTCTGCTATAAATACCCCACACATGTGCCAGCCTGCGGCGCTCCTGCCCCTTTCCCTCCCGGAGCTCGCAGCTCCATGTCTGGTGTAATGAGCCGCTTGCCTCCTCCTGGCACAGAGCTGCAGTCGCACACCGTCTTGGATGAGCGGGGCAGAGAATTACACTCAGAAAAACAAATGAACGTCTGAGGCAGGCAGGGGCCGTGGAGTCCAGAAGAGCCACTTGTGACTGCTGTGATGAGTGTCCCTGTGTCCTCCTGGGAGTGGGAGGCGGTACTGGAGACGTAGCCACCGGCTCTCGCTCCACTCTGCAAAGAGCTGCTTCCCCCACTGCCTCCCGGTTCTCCCAGGATTTGACTGCGGCCTGCCCTTCATGCTGCAGGACAAGTCTGTTGTCTCCAGAGGCGGAGTGGGCAGGAGGGATGGGAACTGTGGCCCTTTAAACACCTCTTCTTAAGTACTTGGGAGCACAAACCCCACTGCGCAGACTTCAGCTTTCCCAGACGCAGCTCAGCTTCGTGTGGGAGGAAAGCAGGGCTGTGTTGTCCTAGATCAGGGCCCAGGGAGCTGCCAGGGCCTCATGTCGTGTCCCAGACACACCGTAATATCTACCTCTGGGCCCCAGAACGTTGGCCTGGCTGGTGACACCATTTCCCATCAGAGGATTCAGAACTGCCCTCAAGGACCTGACTGACAGCCACAGGGGTGAATTCCCTGCCCCTGGCTCTGGGAGCAGGCTGGGGACCACCTGCCAAGCCCCTCAGGGCTGGAAAGGCTTTCATGCTTGGAGCTCCTGCCCTGTGTCTTCCTCAGGATAGGAGGATGGCGAAAATGCCTGGGTAGGTTTCCTGGACTGCTGCTTGTGTCATGGATTGGAGGGTGACCCCTCTGGGGTATTCAGGAAGCATCAAGGAGGTTCCAGCATCTCCTCCCCAAGGGCACGGCATCCTTCATGGATACATGGGCCACAAGAGAAACCCCACGGCAGGCCATCTTCTCCCTGTGGTCCTGCTTGTCCTGGCTCCTCACCAACTCAGAGGCTGTCTTGGGCGAGCTGGCTCCGCCCAGGCGCCTCTTTTCTGCTGACTTCCAGGGATGCCTCCATCCAGGGGAACAGATGCCTCTGGGGCTTCTCCTGGGCTACCCACAGCACCTCACAATGGCCAGGGCTCAAAATGAGGGACTCAGACATCTGTGCGTGGCCCCACCGTGACTGGGCTGTGTCTGTAGTTGCTCTGAGACAAGTCTTCCACCATGTCTTCCTGATCTCGGATTTCCTTAAAGGCCATCACCATCTCCTATCTAGTGCTTCTGGATTTCCGTTCAGAAAGATGTGGTCCTTCCACAGCTAGGCCGTGCAGATCCCCTGGCATCCACCTTGTTGGAAACAGTGGCCCTCTGCTCAGTCATGAGACTGGGGAGGGGAAATGGGAGGACGTCTCGGGGAAAGGATGGAGCGTGGATATGAATGGGAAGAGGGTGGTGGGGGAGCTCGTCAGCATCCTCAGAGGGGCTCGTGCCCACGTTGCTACACAGAATGGGCCTTGCCAGGTGCCCCATCTCCCCCAGGAGCACAAGGGAGGTCCTTAGGTAGCTGTGCATGGTCCTCCAAGGCTGTTCCTGCTGCCGAGCCCAGCTGAAGTTAGAGCCTGCTCCGATGCACGGGCCTGGCCGCTGAAGACCAAAAGCCTGGAGCTGCTTCCTGGTGCCAGAAGCCTTGGCCATTTGGTTTTCTTTTTATTTTTCTTTTTCTTTGAGACAGAGTTTCACTCTTGTTGCCCAAGCTGGAGTGCGGTGGTACAATCTCAGCTCACTGCAACCTCTGCGTCTGGGTTAAAGCAATTCTCCTGCCTCAGCCTCCTGAGTACCTGGGATTACAGGTGCATGCCACCATGCCTGCTAATTTTTGGTTTTTTTTTATTTTTAGTAGAGATGGGGTTTCACCATGTCAGCCAGGCTGGTCTCGAACTCCTGACCTCAGGTGATCTGCCTGCCTCGGTCTCCCAGAGTGCTGGGATTACAGGCATGAGCCACCGCGCCCTGCCAGCCACTTGGTTTTCAAAGGAGCAGCCTGGTGCAGAGGCCAAAGAGGGAAATACACGACAGTTAACACGTTGACCGGACGTCCTATCAAGCGCGGGGGCAACTGGTTGAGGAGGCAGCTCTTGGTTAAGGCGGCAGTGGTTCTCATACACTACCTGCCGTCTTCCCTCTGAGGACGTCGGAATGCCATACAGATGGTAACTTCATTATGTTTTCAACTTTTGGGGGAAGATGCGGAGACCTGGGTAGAGGTCAATGACGTGTCCCTCATAAGGTTAATGAGTATTGAACAGTGTCTCTGAGACAGAAACCCAGTTCCTGGTTGCTGGCCACAGACCCTGGAGCCAGGCGTGGGACCGATGAAGCTGCTTTGCTCATAGAGTCCAGTGGTGGGACCCTCAACTCACTCTAACCTGCTGAGCCCAAGAAGGGAGCAGGGATAACAGATACGCCGTTGAATTCCCTGGCTGTGACCCCTTGCTGGCAGCCCCTTGCCGGCAGCTGATGGGGGATCGTCCGATGCTGCATCTCAGAACGGCGGCCGCAGATGCCAGCAGTTCAGTCAGATCATTCCTCCGAAGGGCACGGATTAGAGGACCCCATTATATTGCCCATGAGCCTGTGGGCCCACCGAGTTCCGGAACTCTGGCCAGCCAGGCCTTCACTTGGGAAGGCTGACATTTCTTTCCAAGGAGGACAGGGCTCTCCCCACAGCCACACTCCCCTCTCCAGCTCAGAGAACACGCGTCACCACCTCACACTTTTCAACGTTCCTTCTCCCCTTGGCAGCATCTCTGTCCTGCAGATGTTTGTCGTCGACGCTGCCTGCCCATGCTGACAAACCTGAAAACACACCCGCCTATGGGTGCACGTGTTGCACGCTCAAGGCTGGTACGAACCAGAGCTCCCCTTCACGTACTGGCACAGCCTGTGCCCAGATGTGCAAATGCCAGCCTCACCCATGCAGTTGTGGCCCTAATAAATGCTGAAATCTGGGAGAAGGACTGAGCCCCGCCCCCGTCTCCACTCCCCCACCAAGTTTGGTTTGTTGGCACCAACTTCCTGGTACCTCAGAGACAGATGTCCTCCTTCCCCCTCTGAGCTCAGCGCCAAGTGGAGAAGAGCTGAGGCTTCACAGGAGCTGTAGGACGGCGCTCTTCCTCCCGTGTGCCAGGGGCCTGCCTGGAGCCTGCTGTCATTGGCAGTGTGGTTGTCGTCAGTATCTTCATTGACCACTGTTAGCAGGAACCTTAAGCCATTTTTTTAAGAGTGGAGAAGGGGGTGAGACCGCAGAGGGGACCCTCATCCTAAGCTCATTTAACATACTTGAAATCAACAGTATTCATTTGGCGACAGAAAGGGTGAAGGTGATCGTGCCCAGGCTGTCATCCTGTGAGCGCGTGCCTGGGAGGGAGGCTTGTGGGAAGGGTGATGAGACTGCCGTCCAGTAAGACCCACCGAGGCCCCCCTAAGTAAGCATCTCACCACCCTGTGTGTGACTTGGTCTTTAAAGCAGGGGGATTTTTCTTTTCCCAGCCTCGGCCTCTTACATCACCTGGTGCTCAGCCAGATCGGGTCCAGCACTCGGGAAAATGCCATGCTGGGCTTGTCAGCAGACAGCACGTCAGCTCAGGGTGACACCTTTGGAGGAGGTTTCCAGGGCTGTTTCTATTCTGATTTCCGCCATACTTGCTGTCTTGTGAGGCAGCCCCTGTGACAGCTACCACGTGGAGCACTTTGCAGTGTATGCAGGGTCAGCCTTGCGGAGCGGACCCAGGGAGGACTCGAGGACTTTGCGGGGATTGGAAGTGTGATTTTCTGGTTTCCAAGTGCTGGAAAACTAAAGCTGGAGGCCTCACCTGAGTGGTAACATGTGGGAACTAGACCCCAAGGAGCACCCCACATGCATCCCCTGCTCCTAGAGTTCACACGGTTCTGTAGCCTCCTCTTCCACCAAGTCAGGTTCGGCCTGTGTGACCAGCAGAAAAGATGGGATGTCACTTTCAAGGTTAGGTTATGGAGGGCTGTGGCTCTGTCCTGGGCATCTTCTTGCTCCCTCTCTTTCTCACCGCTGGCTTTGGAGAACCAGTGGCCACGTGGAGAAACCCTGCGGAGAGGCCCTGGGGCCTGCGGATCAGTGACCAGGTAAGTGAGCCGGGAGGCAGGCCCTTCAGCCCAGTCAGGCTCAGGTGACCGCAGCCCCACCCAACATCTTGAGGGCAACATCTGAGAGACCCCGAGCCAGGACCACCCAACGGAGCTGCCCCTGGATTCCTGGCCCTCAGAAACAACGTGAGATGATCTGTGTGGAGGGATTTGCCGTGCCCAGCAGATGAGCAGCCTCAGGGCAGCAGTGCCCCACTTTGCACCTCACTCCTGCTCCCGTGCCCTGTCCTGGGTTTCCCGTCGTCACTGTTGTTGTCTTACTGCAGGGTGCTTCCAGGCGAGGCTGGCCTGAGTGAGAACAAGGAGCAGGACGCTCCCCAAGAGGTGGCCTTGGACATCAGCCTGGGCCACATCTACAAGGTGAGTCGAGCTGCCTGCCTCACCCAGGGCACTGTCGGCTTGTAGTTCAGACCCATTCAGCAGCTTAATTCGGGGAGCGTCACGGAGAATCTCTGGCGAGCTCAGCACCACGGCAGGCACTGTGCTGGCTGTGGGCCGGATGCTACAGAAACCGTGTTATGGGAAACAGGTCCTGATATAGGCCCCAAGAGAGGGTTCTTGGATCTTGCACGAGAAAGAATTGGGGCCAGACGTGGCGGCTCATGGCTGTAATCCCAGCACTTTGGGAGGCTGAGGCAGGCGGATCATTTGAGGTCAGGAGTTCCAGACCAGCCTGACCAACATGGTGAAACCCCATCTCTACTAAAATTACAAAAACGTTAGCGGAGCGTGATGGTGGACACCTGTAGTCCGGTCTGCTCAAGAGGCTGAGACGAGAATTGCTTGACCTTGGGAGGCAGAGGTTGTAGTGAGCTGAGATGGCACCACTGCACTCCAGCCTGGGCGACACAGTGAGACTCCATCTCAAAAAAAAAAAAAAAAAAAAAAAAATGGACGCAGTGGCTCATGCCTGTAATGCCAGCACTTTGGGAGGCTGAGGCGGGTGGATCACCTGAGGTCAGGAGTTGAAGACCAGCCTGGCTAACATGGCAAAACCCCGTCTCTACAAAAAATACAAAAATCAGCCAGGTATGGAGGCTGAGGCAGGAGAATCGCTTGAAACCGGGAGGTGGAGGTTGCAGTGAGCTGAGATTGCGCCACTGCCCTGTAGCCTGGGCAACAAGAGAGAAACTCCATCTCAAAAATAAAAAGAATTGGAAGCAAATCCATAGAGTAAAGTGAAAGCAAGTTTATTTAAAAAGTAAGCGAATAGGCTGGGTACGGTGGCTCATGCCTGTAATCTTAGCGCTTTGGGAGGCCAACGCGGGTGGATCGCCTGCGGTTCAGAGTTCAAGATCAGCCTGGCCAACATGGCAAAACTCCATCTCTATTAAAAATACCAAAATTAGTCGGGCGTGGTGGTGTGTGCCTGTAATCCCAGCTACTTGGGAAGGTGAGGCAGGAGAATTGCTGGAACCCGGGAAGCAGAGGTTGTAGTGAGCCAAGATCGAGCCACTGCACCCCACCCTGGGTGACAGAGCAAGACTCTGTCTCAAAAAAAAGCAAAAATGAAGAATGGCTACTTCATAGGCAGAGCAGCTACTATACCAAGGGCTGCTGGTATAGTATTTTTATGGCTGTTTCTTGATTATATGCTAACTAAGGGGTGGATTATGAGTTTTCCAGGAAAGGGATGGGCAATTCCCAGAACTGAGGGTTCCTCCCCTTTTTAGACCACATAGGGTGACTTCCTGACGTTGCCATGGCATGTGTCAACTGTCACGGTGCGGGTGGGAGTATCTTTGAGCATGCTAATGCGTTGCTAGCATATAATGAGCAGTGAGGCCGACCAGAGGTCACTCTAGTCATCATCTTGGTTTTGGTGGTATCTGGCCAGCCTCTTGCCGCCAACCTCCTCTCTCATCCTGTAAGAATACCTAACCTCCTGGGAGTGCAGCCCAGTAGGTCTTAGCCTTATTTTACCCAGCCCCTATTCAAGATGGAGTCGCTCTGGTTCAAACACCTGTGACAAACACATTCTCCACACTTGTGCCTGCCACCCAGGACCCTGCAGGGGCCTCGAATCCTGGCCTGTTTCCTGAGCTCCTACCCGGCATGACCGCGGGGCTCACAGTACCATCCCTCCTGCCTACGTGTCTCCCAGGGAACTGGTCCTCAAAGTCCTCTCCCGTTCCCCCACAGCCTGGCCACCCTTGCTCTCTTCTTTCTCTCTAGTTTCTGGCGCTGTGTGCCCAGGCCCAGCCGGGGGCCTACACTGACGAGAACCTCGTGGGACTGATTGAGCTGCTGTGCCGCGCCGGCCTGGACATGGGGCTCCGCCTGCTGCCCAAGGTTGACCTCCAGCAGCTTCTGCTCTTGCTCCTGGAGAACATCCGGGAGTGGCCGGGGAAGGTACCACACGCCCAGAGCCTGGTCCTCACACAGCTTCATCACGAGGGACCAGGGTGGCCCCTAGAGTGCCCTGGGTGGGGATGGCATTGCCTGGAGGTCATCGGAATGCCCCTGGTCTCTGTGACTGCCCACTTACTCCCCTGTGCGGGCTGGGAGGCGAGAGCAGTGGGAAGGCAGTGTCCCCCTGCAGCCCATGGGGTGCCCCTCTCCTGCAGCTCCAGGAACTGTGCTGCACCCTGAGCTGGGTGTCTGACCACCACCACAACCTGCTGGCCCTCGTGCAGTTCTTCCCGGACATGACCTCCCGGAGCAGGTGGGTGCCGCTCCCCTGCTGCCACCTCCCTCTCACATGCATCTTTTCAGGTTCTTGCAGGAATCCAGAGTCCTCCCCATCAGCCCCAACGAACCTCCCCCGCCCAATTGCTAATCCCCAGGAGGGAGAACTAAAAATATAACTCACTAATGAGTTCTTTACAAATGAAAAAAAAAGCCTAATTTTCTTAACGTGGTCTTATTAGCAAAACAATTGCCTTGTGCAGTTAGCTCCTGCCTGCAGGGCCCCCACTCTCCTTTCTTTGGGGCTCCCTCCCCAGTCTTCAGCTCCTCCTTGTCATTCAGACCTCAGCTGAATTGTGTCCCCTGGTCACCCCATTCCCACTTGCACACTCTCGATTCATCCTTCTGTTTTGTTTTCTGCCTAGCATTTACCCTGCCAGAAATGATGTTACTCTCTGTTTCCTTGTTTATGGCTGTGGCTTTCCTCGAAGTCACCTCTACCAGAACAGCTCCTTTGTCAGGGCCACTGCCATATTGTCCCGGATCTAGAACAGTGCCTAGCGTGCTGTTTAGCGCTCTGTAAATTCTTTTTTTTTTTTTTTTTTTCTTGAGACAGAGTCTCGCTCTGTCACCCAGCCTGGAGTATGGTGGCGCGATCTCGGCTCACTGCAAGCTCCACCTTCTGGGTTCACGCCATTCTCCTGCCTCAGCCTCCCGAGTAGCTGGGACTACAGGCGCCCGCCACCACGCCCGGCTAATTTTTTGTATTTTAGTGGAGATGGGGTTTCATCATGTTAGCCAGGATGGTCTCGATCTCCTGACCTCGTGCTCTGCCCACCTCGGCCTCCCAAAGTGCTGGGATTACAGGTGTGAGCCACCGCGCCGGACTGTAAATTCTTTTTGAATGAATGAAGTGGGTAAACAAACTCAGCCAAGGAGGCCCACTGGCTGGATCTGGCCCTGCTTCTCTCTCCACCTTCCTTCTCCCACTTCTGGCCACAGTCTTACGGAACTGCCTGCCCTTCCCGGAGCAGACCACTCCCATCCACTCGCCTCCCTCTTCTCTCTCCATCTTCCCTTCTCTTTCTGGGCCTGTCCCTTTGCAACTCCTCCTGCCTAGAATGACTCCCTTCCCATCCCTCACCTTTGGCAGACACCTCTGTGTTACCCTCCACTGGGACCCCTTCCCTTCCCCTGCAATGTTCCGAGGGTGGTCTCTGGGAGCCGGCTTGGAGTTTGAATCGCCTCCCACCCCAGGGCCCAGCCTCGTAGAGGCTCTGCTTGTTGACTGAGTTACGTTCATGTCCTGGGCTCCGCTTCAGTGCTGGGCAGGGAGTCCCATCTCTTTCCCTCTTCCCTGGGAATCTGACTGGCAGAGAGGCAGGCTGTGCACAGTTGGGAGAGGGCAGGTTTTGGGACTTCTGGAAGCTCTGTCAGAGGTTTCCGGGACTTCCGTCGGGGAGGCTGCCTGCAGCCCGGCAGCCTGGGGTTTCTTGGGATGGAGAGGCCGACCTGCCTCCTGATTCCCTGTTCTCCCCAGGCTGCCCATCCACTCTGCTGTGCCGGCTGGAAATGACAGTCCTAGAGGTTTCTGCCATCCCCAGCTGCTACCCGTTTCATCCCTAAATCCTGTCCTTTCTGCCTTCTGTGTCCTAAACCCTCAGTCCAACTCTGTGGCAGCCAGGACCGTGTCTGCCTCACACAAATCAGTCACCTCCTTTCCTGCTTTCATCTCACCGGCTCACCTGGAGGGTGGCAGCGGCCTTTCTTCCCCTTCCCCAAAGTCTGTCTGCTCTGTAGATACCTGTGGGTTCCTGTGATGATCGTGTCTCAGCCTTGCCAGGCTCCCCATTGCCTGCAGGGCCAGGCGCCAATTCTTAGGCTGGCCCCCAGGCCCCCTCGTCCACCTCATCCAGCCAGTTTCTCGTTTGCTCCATCCAGGGCATGGTGTTCGTGGTTGTTTTTCTCACACATACACACAGTAAACCTCACTCTTTTCATGGCTGCATAGTATTCCCCTAGTGTGTGTGCCATAATAGTCTCGTAACGTAGCAGGACGAGTCACAGGCAAGAACCCCTCAGATACCAAGTTGTGGAAGGAAAGGGCTTTATTTAGCTGGGAGCATTGGTGAACTCACGTCTCCAAAAACTGAGCTCCCTGAGTGAGTAATTCCTGTGCCTTTTAAGGGCTTACAACTCTTTATTTATTTATATTTTTTGAGACGGAGTCTCGCTCTGTCGCCCAGGCTGGAGTGCAGTGGCGCAATCTGGGCTCACTGCAAGGCCCACATGAGAAGGTCATGATCGATTGAGCAAGCCGTGGGTACGTGACCAGGGGCCGCATGCACTGGTAATCAGAATGGAACAGAACAGGACAGGGATTTCCATGGTGCTTTTCCATACAATGTCTGGAATCTATAGATAACATAAACCGGTTAAGTCGGGGTCAGTCTTTTAACTACCAGGCCTGGAATGCAGCATTGGGCTGTCTGACTACTGATTTCATTTCTGTCTTTTCTTTAAACTCCTACTTTTCCTTTGAGGCAGAAAACGGGCGTAAGATAGGATGAGGGGTGGTGTCCTCCCTTACTAATACTGGACATTCTTCCAGTGACTGTTTCTGTGAGCTTTGGGCATCTGTGCACATGTTTCTATGGGATAAATTCCTTGAAGTGAAATTGCAACCCTGAAGTATGTAAAGCTGGACCTATTAGTAACACCACCAAATGGGTATGAAAATGCGTGTTTTTCTGCATTCTCATTAATGCTGCATATTCTCAGTTTTGTTTTTGAGTTTTAGTCAATCTGGTGAGTGGAAAATGTCATCCTGTGGTTCTAATTTTCATTTCCCCGATTGCCAGCAGTGAAATTGAGTATCTTTTCATGTATTTATTGGCCTTTTGTGTTTCTCTTACTGTAAATTACCTTTTGGTATTTCTTACCCACTTGCCTATCGGTTAATTTATCTTCGTATCAACTCTATGGATCTTCATGTTGCTTATTATGTTAAAATGCGTTTTCTCCAAAGGTTATCTAGATTGTCCTTTGTAAATCTTAATGTACGGTCCCTTTCAGTGAACTGGATTTTTTTTTCTTTTTTAACTTTTTCGGTTCTTTCTTAAATCTTAGAATAGATTTAGATTTACAGGACAGTTGTATGGATAATACAGAGAATTGATTGGGGTTTATGTGTAATTGAATCTTTCTGTATGGAAGAGGAAGGGTTTCCCCACCAAGACCGTAAAGAGCGTGTGCTTGCTTCTCTTTCAGGACTGGCTTCACTTTGTTTCCTTCAGCTCTTAATCCCAACTGGAATTGGTTTGTCCTTTGTATGAGATAAGGATCTAACTTGATTTTTTCCATCCCCAAACAGCCAGTGGGGACCCAGCGTCAATTTTTTTGCCTTCTGTTTTATTTTTTTAGATAGGGTCTCACTCTGTCACCCAGGCTGGAGTGCAGTGTTGCCATCATGGCTCACTGCAGCCTCCACCTCTTGGGATCAAGCGATCCTCCTGCCTCAGCCTCCTTAGTAGCTAGGACTACAGACACATGCCAACACACCTATCTAATTTTTAAATTTTTTGTAGAGACAGGGTCTCCCTATGTTGTCCAGGCTGGTCTCAAACCCCTGGGCTGAAGTAATGATCTTCCCACTCAGCCTCCCAAACTGCTGGGATCACAGGTATGAGCCACCATGCCTGACCTTTTTGGTTTTAACAATTAATCCTTTCAAGACAGATTTGAAGCTACCTTCTCCATATCCTAAGTTTATGACTTTGCTCCTTCGTCTGCTAGCCCTGTTAAACCGTGATTTCATGGATCAGTGTCTTTTGTGGAATCTGTGGGTAGCTCCAGGGCCCGTGGCAAGTGCCCTTTAAGTGCGGGGAAATGAATGAGACAGAGCATCTTGCGCCTGCCTTTCAGGCAGCCACGTAAGCAGGGCGATGCTTCGTGCCAAGAGCTTTCCTAGGAGGGAGGGTGCCTTATCGGGATCAGTGTTGATTGATTTTATTTTTATTTTTCTAAGTAGATAAAAGCATTCAAATAAAATTCATAAGGTACCACGGAGTACCTTTTTGAAAGTACCCCTTTCAAATTTGATGTTGAAAATGCGCCTCTTCTCCTGAGCCAGAGCCCCCGGCTGGCCGCCAGCCTCTGCGTGGGCACGATCCGCCATTCCTGCACCTTCCTTGCTGTTCAGGGTGTGCTCTGGCCGTCGTCCCTGACTGGGTTGTAAAGGGCTCCTAATTCTTCTTTCCTGCCGCGTTGTACTCACCGGGTCTTCAGTGAGCTGCTGCTCCACTGTGCTGCCTGCGGCGGCCGCAGAGCTTACTGGCTGCCTTCACTGGTGGCTGCCCTACTGGGCTCTGTGCCCAGACTGACCCCAGGAAGAAGGGCAGATTGTTGTACGAGGGGCTGTCACACTCTTTGTCTACTCGACTGACTGGTTAAGCACAAAGCGAGAACTCCCGCTGATGCGCTCGTAGTACACCCGCAGCCCCTGCCTCAGCGCTCGAGACTTCACGGGATGCACTACAAATGTGAGGAAGAGCTGGGCCTAACCATGAAAAATGAAAGTGAAGACGAAGGCAGACCACCTGAAACACAGCCAAGGGGAAGAGGAGGTTCTCGGAGGGAGGTCCACCTTGGGAGGTGGCCCCACTGGGGCAGTTCAGGCAGCGTTGGGAAGAGCAGCCTGCCATCCCCGCTTCTGTTCAGGGCTCCTGCAGCTGCTCGCATGCTACTGAAAGCTGATGTCCCAGGCTCCGGGGACCCTCCTCCTCCACTGCCTGCGGCTGTTCATTAAACATCCCGTGTGCGCCGCTTCAAAGCAGGTCAGATGAAGCCCGCTCGTGCAGGCTGCCTGGTCAGATGGAGGAATGGACGAAGGCTGCCTAAAATGGCTCACAAAACCAGCCCTGACAATGACGTAGAGTTCCTTGCCCGTCAGACCAGAATCAATCCGAAAGGACAGTGCTGCCCAGCGTTGGCAGGATGTGAGGAAACGGGCATATGCTTCCCTGCTCGTGAGGTGCGGTCAGTAGTCCCTCTGGAGGCCAATTTGGCAAAATCAAGCAGATGACTTTAAAATGTGCACACCCTTCAAAAAACTAGATCGTTTTCTGGGAAACTAGATAGCGAAGATTGATCGACGAGGATGTTTGGCATAGTAATGTCGTGATAGTGAAGAACTGGAAACTGCCTCAGCGCCCCACCACCAACTCAGTTCTGCCCATGCTACGGTGTATTATACAGTACCTAAAAATGATGTCACAGGAAAATGGGAAAGTTAATGAAATAAGGCTAAATGGAAAAAAGACTTGGAAGCCATATGTAAAGCACGATGCCAGTTCTGTTTTGGGGAAAAGAAAGGTCATCTTTGGGTGTGAGGTTAATAGGAGTGGCTTTCGTCGCCTTGGGCTTATTTCCCCTTTCTTTTTTTCTTTTCTTTCTTTTTTTTTTTTCCCCCACTCTGTCGCCCAGGCTGGAGTGCAATGGCACAGTCTTGGCTCACTGCAACCTCCGCCTCCTGGGTTTAAGTGATTCTTCTGCCTCAGCCTCCCGAGTAGCTGGGACTACAGGCGCTATGCCACCACACCCAGCTAATGTTTGTATTTTTAGTAGAAACGGGGTTTCACCTTGTTGGGCAGGCTGGTCTTGAACTCCTAACCTCGTGATCCGCCTGCCTTGGCCTCCCAAAGTGCTGGGATTACAGGCGTGAGCCACCGTGCCTGTCCTCTTACTTCCCCTTTCTAAAGACCCTGTTGGCCTCTGAGCTCCTGCTCTTACCCCACAGCCAGTTCTCACCAATTAGCCAGAATCACTTCTATTTAATAATTTCTTAAAGTTTTATCGGCTGGGTGTGGTGGCTCACACCTGTAATCCCAGCACTTTGGGAGGCCGAGGTGGGTGGATCACTTGAGGTCAGGAGTTTGAGACTAGCCTGGCCAACATGGTGAAACCCCATCTCTACTAAAAATACAAAAAAAAAAAAATTAGCTGGACATGGCGGCGTGCACCTGTAATCCCATCTATTCAGGAGGCTGAGACAGGAGAACCGTTTGAACCCGGGAGGCAGAGGTTGCAGTTAACTGAGATTGTGCCATTGCACTCCAGCCTGAGAGGCAGAACAGGACTTCGTCTCAAAAAAGAAAAAAGAAAAATTTGGTTATAGATAATTTCAAGACATATGACAAACGTTGAGAGGCTAGTAAAATGGACTCCATGCCCCCATTTTCCATCTCAGCAGACGCAACCATGGAGAGGACTCCTTCCCTCACCCAGTGCCCCCCACCCCTGCCCCAGATCATTGTGAAGCAAAACAAATAATAAGACATTTTGTTCAGTAGGTGTCTCTAAAAAGATAAGGTCTTGGTGGTTCGTTTGTTGTTGTTGTTGACGGAATCTCTGTCGCCCGGGCAGGAGTGCAGTGGTACCATCGAGGCTCACTGCAGCTTCAACTTCCTGAGCTTAAGTGATCCTCCTGCCTCAGCCTCCCAAGCAGCTGGGACTACAGGCGTGCACCATCCCACCCAGATAACTTCTTTAAACTTTTGTAGAGACAGGATCTCTCTGTGTTCCCCAGCCTGGTCTTTGACCCCTGGGCTCAAGTGATCCTCCCACCTTGGCCTCCCGAAGTGCTGAGATCACAGTGCCCAGCCCTCGGTGGGTATTTTAAAACATCATTACAACATGATGATGACACCTAAAACACTGAACCATAAAAGAGCTGTCATAAGCAGTTGAGTCACTTCCCTGCTCCAGAATCTTCCAAGACTTTGCATCATCTTGGAAGGAAGCCTGGAGTCTTTGAGGTGGCCGCTAAGGCCCCTTTGCAGTGTGGCTCTGCCCTCTCAGCCCTTCTCCCTGTCCCCGGGGTGCACTGGGCACTTGTGTCTTGGTGCCCACCCTCCCCCATGCCCGCACGTTGGTAGGAGACTCTTACCTTCTCATCATGGTGGTCTCTGCCCACATGTCACTGTCTCGGAGAGGCTTCACCTGATCCTTTTTTCCAAATGAGCTTCCACCTCAGGGCTCTGCAGAACCTCGCTTTCCTCATTTTTCCCCACTGACTGCCAGGACCAGAAGTGAACTGTGACCCGGCCCTCCCCACGCGTGTGAGCTCCCTGGGCTGGAGGGCTCCCTCCATCTCCCGCATGACTGCGTCCCCAGCACCCAGAACAGAGCAGGGACTGGAATATCACAGGTGCTGAGTAAATATTTGGCCAATAAGTAAAAGCCAACAGCGTTTGCCTCTCTCCTAATTTCTTCCCGTGACGGAAATACACGGAGGTTTGCAGGCGGTGTGGGCTTCCTTCCTGTGTTGAGGAGGCATCTTCCTCGCTCCCCTTCTGCCCAGAAGCCAGGAGTCAGGCACTCCTTTGTTCCACCTCTGGGAGCGAAACCCGTGCCTGACCACTTGGACGCTCCTGAGGACAGGACCCAGGGACGGCAGTCCTCTCAGGCTCTTCTGGGCAGGGACCCTGCTGCTCCACGTCCCTCGGCCAGGTTCTCTATCTTCTTGTGAATTCTGGAGCACCCCAGGATCCTCTTAGTGTTCTGTCTGGAGCAGCCAGCCAAGGAGGAACTGACTGATGGAGTGGAAGTGCAGCAGCCTAGGGGGAGAGCAGCCTCACGCCCGTCAGGTCCTTGCACACCGGGGATAAGAGCGGGGACAGGCACAGATGCACCGTGGCTTCCCTCGAAGCCCTCCTCATTTCCCTGCTGTTCGCATTCACTTCCTCACTGTGGGGCCAGAGGGCCCCATCTTTTCCCCTCACCACTGCCGGGCCCTGGGTCAGCACCTGGACCCCTTCTCCACTGTGGACTCCCTTCCTGCCTGTTCTCAGACCTGAAACTGCACGGCCAAACGGAGTGATGCCACATGGATGTCCCTTGTCCCCACCTTGGCCCGTGACCCCTTCAGGGGGCCCAGAGCCACTGTGAGTTCCTGGCCAGCCTCCTGGGGACCTCAGCAGACTCCATGCTTCCTGCTGCTGAAGCCTCTGCACTTTCAGCAAACAGCCACCCCCACTAGACAAACGCAGTGCGCTCTCAGTTCTCACCCCCCTGCTGCCCACTGCACCCTTCATTCTGGATCCCGGCAGTCCTGCCTCTCCCAAACCTTCTGCAGTCACCTCTTATCCTTGTACCATTTGCTTTTTGTTCACTAGGTTTCTCTGCAGCAAATAAATGCGTTCCTGTGTCTCCTACCTTAAAACAGCCATTCTGTCTCCACCCACATCTCCCTCTCGCTCCTGCCGCAGTTCCAAACTTCCTCCCCCAGTTCTCTCTCTCATGGCTGAGTCCTGCCCACCCTCGGGCAGGTTGAGTGCTTCAGAGCATCAGAGAGAGCTCTCACTGTGGGCGGGTGAGGCCGGAACGTCTGGAAGGAGGCAGTCAAGGCCCAGTCAACCTGGAGATTTCAGAAGGGCCCCAAATCTGGAGGAACAAGAGGCAAGATGAAGGTCCCGTCCGGAGCCTGGGCTGGAGCTGGAGGCAGACGGCAGCGGGAAGGTGGGCGGCAGTCAGGCCATGGTTGCCAGGAAGGGGACACGGCTGGAGAGGATGCAGCTCCCTCTCGGGGTGGGGTGGGGTGTCTGAGGGACCTAAAAGGCCAGGAGCTGAGGAGACACCTCCTGTGGCACCAGGCACTCCAGTCAACCTGCTCCGTCACCAAGGATGCTTCCTAATGAGCAGCCAGCACTTCCTTCCCTGGGCTTCCCAGTGCCCTCCTGGCTTCCTCAGCTGCCCTCAGGGATACCCCTCCCCAGCCAGCCCTTGAGTCTTGGTGGACTTCAGGATTCCGCCCCAGCCCCTCTTGTGGCACAGGCCCATGAAGTTGGGGGTGCTGGTTGCCCCAATCCAGGACTGGGGCACTCTTTCCACTGCTGGGAGTGCCAGCCCACATCAGGTGTCACCTCTGCTGAAAGTGGTCCCTTTACCAGGGCTGGGCCCCTTCCTTGGCAGCAGCCTGGTGCAGGGGCACAAGGGTCTCCCGCGTTGCCTTAGCTGAGGACGTCTCTGAAGGATCCTGCTAGCTCCGGAGTCCTCGTGGGGTCAGCTGAGGCCTTCACTGTGGCTGCGTGGGGTCAGCTGAGGCCTTCACTGTGGCTGCGTGGGGTCAGCTGAGGCCTTCCCTGTGGCTGCGTGGCAGCTGGGTTTCCTTTGTCTCTCCCTGCATAAATTGCTTGCATCCTCTCTTCCAACGTAAATTCCCTGCGTGATAATATCCATTTCAGAGCCTACTTTCTGAGGAAGCCAGCCTGAGACACCATCTCGTTGGCATCAGAGGCCTCAACTCCAGGGACATGCTAGCAGCTCCCAAACGAATACCTGTGGCCAGACTTTGCTGCTGAGTACCGATCTGTGTGGCGAATGTCTGGGATTCAGCAGGTGGGAAACAGAAGTCATTGCCTTCCCAGGAGGACCCCTTCCCTGTCTTCCATGGCTCCATGAGTGGCACCAGCGCCTGCCCACTGCCCAGGCTTGGAGTCCTATGGACAGTTTTGGTGCCCTGGAGCTCCCCAGTCTCCTAGAGTGCTCATGTCTCCTCCTCACCCTCCCTGTGGCTGCCTTGGTGCAGCTCTTCCTGCAACCCCCTTGGATTTCCGCCAGAGCATCCCACCGTCTCTTTCCAGGCTCTCCACCAGCTCCACCTTGTGCTGTCCCGGAGTGTGACCTTCCTTCAGATGCTCATGTGGTCACATCGCTGATGTGCTTAAAATCCTCAGACTTTCCCCCTCAGGGTGAAATATGCCACAGCGCAGCCTGGGATTGGAGGGGCTTGGTGCCCTCTTTCCCAGGCTCACATGCCACCCTGCCCCCTGCAGGCTTCCACGCTTTTACCGCATTCTGGAACTTGGCAGCCACCCCAACTCAAGATGGTCTTTTGCCTCCAAGCTTTTCTGCATCTGTCTCCTCCTCCTGGAGGGGCCTCTTCCCATCCTCCTTCTCTGCCTGGTTACATCTCTTCAGCCTCAAGACGAGGCTCGGGCCAAAGCATCTCCTCTTCGAGCAGCCCGTGTTGCAGGCCCATCAGGCTGTCGCTTTGCTGACATGGGCCGTGGGCATCAGAGGGACAGGTGCTGTGACCGTACTCCCTGAGTCCACAGAGCCTGGCACGGCAGGGGGACTCACGCGGCACCCTCGGGCTGTGTCTGCTTCTGGAGGGCAGATTTCAAAGAAGCATAAAGAGGTAGGACTTAAAAAAGAAAAAATAGATTACAGGGCTGGGCGCGGTGGCTCACGCCTGTAATCCCAGCACTTTGGGAGGCCAAGGCAGGTGGATCACTTGAGTTCAGGAGTTCAAGACCAGCCTGGCCAACATGGTGAAACCCCAGGTCTACTAAAAACACGAAAATTAGCCAGGCGTGGTGGCATGCACCTGTAGTCCCAGCTACTCCGGAGGCTGAGGTGGTAGTGAGCCGAGATTGCGCCACTGCACTCCAGTCTGGGCAACAGAGCAAGACACTGTCTCAAAAAAAAAAAAAAAAAATCAGATTCTAAGAAGAGAGGTTTCAGGTGGGCTGGGAGATCTTGCACTGAAACTTTGAATATGGATTACAAAGGAGCCCAGCGAGGAAGAGGAGGGAAGCATTAAAGGCTGCAGGGGCTCCCCTCAGAGCTTGTTCGTGGTCTCAGGTTTGAGAAGGGCACCAGAGTAAGATAACCAGACACAGGGTGTGGACCAGTGGGAGTATTGTTGGGAAATGCCGAAGGCCATAAAAGGAGTTTCTGTGTAGTTATTTTTGAAGCAAGGAGTGTGGTTTGGGGCCGACAGTAAAATGTTAGCCCTAATGGAGAGAGAGCAACACTACGTGATTCCTCTTTTGCTTCTGTCATCTTCGTCAAGGAGAACAGGTTTTCATTTGGAATCAAATATTGGTCGTCGAAAGGGATTAAAGCCTAAGAGAGTGGGAGGCTGCATGGCCGACCTCGCTGTGCAGAGGAGGCTGTGTCCCCGGCGGGATGACGTCTCCCTACTGCTGGGAGACACGCAGATGGGGCCGTGGCTGCATGGGGACTTTGGAGGCGGAGGGCTTCCAGGAGATGGGGGCGACGGTGCTTGATGTGCTCCTCCACGTCATTCCCCAGGGGATTCTGGCTTGGGACCACATACATAGGAAAGGATGCACTGGCTTCTAGGAGTCCTAACAAGAAATCATACCAGACAAGCCTCACTTTTCCACAGATGAACCAGAATCATACTCCAGAGAGGACTGTGCAGTGCCTGTATGTAGGTTTCCTGGGCATTTGGTAGAGGCTGTCGTCATAGCCTGGGTTCGGCATGACGGAGTGCAGGCCAAACGATGATAGAATGAAGCGGGCTCATTATCAAAAGGTGCTGCTGGCCATCAGACTGTGCCCAGAGGGCAGGCCCTGTCACCACCCCGAGTTCGGTCTCCACTCACAGGTTGACCAGGGCAGGCCCCGTGTTTTGGATGAGGCTGTTAATGGAACAATGGTCGGATTCACAGATGACATGAATACAACTGACAGCAGACTGAAGATCTCAGAAGATCTCAACCGACCGTAATGATGGACTGAGTTGAAAAGAGAGGCCCAGCTGCACAATTAAGAACAGGATCTGGGAAATGGGATTTGACAGCAAGACGTGTGAAAAAAGAAGACTTTGGGCTCAATCTGTTCACTGCGTTGTGTTGTAGGTCTGCCAAGAAAATGAGCATCAGCCTCAGCTCCGAGTGTCTCTCTTGAAAGGGAACATGGACAACCCCCAGGGCCCTCAGAGGACCCGAACCAAAATGGCAAAAAAAGATGCCGAAAGATGGGAATGGAGGGGCCGTGGCGCCTGCAGGAAGCGGCAGCCACGGGAATGTGGCACCTTCTTCCAAGCGTGGAGGACCTAGGTTGGCGGAGAGCTCCCTCCTGGACGCCCCGGAGGATGGGATCCAGAAGCTTTGAGTGGAAGTCCCAGAAGGGCAGGTTTTGGCGAAATGTGGGAACAGTTTCCTTTGGTTAGTCCAGTAAATGAATTTGGGCCGTCTTGGCAGATAACCGCACTTTCTTTGCTCAAGTGAACACTGGTTGGGGGTGTGGCAAAGAGAATTAAAATTAAACTTCAAGGTGTTTTCTTTTTTATTTTTTTGAGACAGAGTCTTGATCTGTCACCCAGGCTGGAGTGCAGTGGAGCAATCTCAGCTCACTGCAACCTCTGCCTCGCAGGTTCAAGTGATTCTTCTGCCTCAGCCTGCCGAGTAGCTGAGATGACAGGTGCCCGTCATCACGCCCGGCTAATTTTTGTATTTTTTGTAGAGACGGGGTTTCACCATGTTGGCCAGGCTGCTCTCGAACTGACCTCAGGTGATTCTCCCGCCTCAGCCTCCCAAAGTGCTGGGATTACAGGCAGGAGCCACCACGCCCGGCCGACTTCAAGGTGTTTTCTAAGCTTGAGGTTCTGTGATTTTTATCATCATACAAAGAAAGGGAGATGAGAATGGAAGTTGGTATGATTGTCCATGTGTACCTTTTAATTTGCTTATAACACATATGAATGGAAGGACATATAGGAGGACACTTCGTACCCTTTGCAAAAGAGATCATCCGTGTACCACTTGACCGTGGGACAGAACGTCTGCGGCTCCCCAGAAGCGCTGTCGGGCCCCTGCCAGGCATTCCCTCCTGCAGAGGTAATCACTTCCGTGGCTTCCGTCACATAGATCCGTTTTATCTGTTTTGTTGGTTGGTTGGTTTTTGAGAGATGGGTTCTCCCTATGTTGCCCAGGATGGCCTCGAAGTCCTGGCCTCAAATGAGTCTCCTGCTTCAGTTTCCCAAAGTGCTGGGATTACAGATGTGAGCCACCATGCCTAGCCCAGTTTTGCCTGTTTTTAAACATTTATATAAACGGGACCATGCAGAGTGTTCTCCCGTGGGTCTGGCTTCCTTGGCTCAACACCTGGTTTGTGGGACCCCTCCATGTCGATGTGCCTGGTTGTAGACGGGTTCCTCATGTTGCCCTGTGGTGGTCCACTCATCTGGGTCTGTGGCCGACTGTGTCCCGCCGTCTCCTCGCGTCCACACAGTGCGTGCTCAGACTGGTCTGTGGATGATCAGGCAGTCTGGTGGCTGTGGGCTCGCAGACCCCCGGGAGGGACAGCCAGCTTCTAAGCCCACCCCCTGGTTCTTCCCACCTGACATGTACACAACAGAAGAGTCTAGGGAAGGAGTGCCGAGCGGGTGGCTGACAGGCAGCCTGATGGACGAGGCCCACGAGCCAGGCGGACACCCTGAGGCAGCGCGTCAGGCAGCATTGCCACGGTGGAACAGGCCACTGCTGTTGCTTCCTGAGCTGCCCTGGGGACTGGAAAAGGCAGCTCATGCCTTTGGCCAGGTGCCTGACAGCCTTTTAGGGCAGTTCGGTGTTGGCAGGGCCCAGTTCCCCTCCCAGGGAGTGAAGACAAGGGGCTCCAGGGGGGCTGTTCTGGCCTGTGTCACCACCCGACATCCCAGCAGCCCACGTGGTTGGTGCCTTTGCCTTCCTGGGTGCCGCTTGCGGAGGCAGGGAAGCAGAGCGCTGGCATTCCACTTCTGACTGCGCTGCGGGTTTAGAAAAGTCATTTCTGAATGTCTCAGTGCCTTCGGCTCCTCTGAGTGCTAATCCAGTGTCCTGGTCTTGTGGAGGCCCGTGGTGGGTGGGGGGGACAAGGCGGGGGCAGAGGCTGGCCTGGCCTGGCCTGGCCCGGCTGGTGCACGCCAGGGCTGGAGCCTGTTGCCTTATATGACAGTGACTGGGATGGCCCCATGGCTTCTGCCTCCTCCTCTGAACCTGGTTGGAGTTCCAGGGAGGCCTTGTCAAGTGGGGTCAGGCCTCTTCTGTGGGAGGGAGAGCCCACAGCCAGCGCCTCTGCTTGCGCCCTGCACAGTTTGGGTGGTGTGGGGGTGCGGCTTTTCTTTTTCTCCTCCATGGAATAAGTTCTCAGTCTGCAAAATAAAAAAGTGGTCTTGCCCCCCTCCTCCTGCTGTGTCCCAGTGGGAACTGAGAATGCGGGACTGGGTTTAAAAGGCGGGGAGGGCCATCAGGATGAAAGGCAGCGGGCAGGCAGGGACAGCGAGGGGACTTGCCACTCAGATGTGGCTTTATTTTCATCCATTTACCCTTTTGGTGCTTTTTCTGGTGCTTTTCTTCATTTCTGGATAACAGCCCCATCCTGACCCGCCCTGCCCGCCTCTTCCCTTCTGGAACCACCCCTAGCACTGCTTTGCCGGCCCGCCTGCTCCCCTCACCCCCAGACCGGGCCAGCCCTCCTTGCCTGCTGCGAGTAAGCGAGTAAACGAGTAAACGAGCTCCCGCGCAGGCCTTGGGTTTTGGATTAATGAAGCCCAGATGCAGACTTCTGACTGGCTTTGAGTTCGCTGTGGAGCAGCTCAGAGGGGCCGTTGACCTCCCACTGTGTTCCCAGCCCAGCTGCTGCCGGGGCTCCTGAACAGCTGGAAAGCCGGCCCTGTCTGACAGGGAGGCGAAGGCCTGTGGGTGGGGGAGAAACTGAAGCTTGGGGCTCTGGGTGTGGGGCCAGGGGGTGGCCTGCACCCACGGGGGTCTGTTGCAGGGGCCGTAGAGCGGGAATGAGGGGCTTGTGTTCGTTATCCTGTGGCTCAGTCCGGGTGGGCGCTGCCTTTCCTCAGTGCTCTGGCGTGGGGGAAGTAGGGAGTGTTGAGTGAGTACACAGGGGTGCTGCGGGGTTGGGCGAGTACACGGGGGCGCTGCGGGGTTAGGCGAGTGCACAGTAGCAGGAGAATCACTTGAACCTAGGAGGAGGAGGTTGCAGTGAGCCGAGATCACACCATTGCATGTCAGCCTGGGCAACAAGAGTGAAACTCCATCTCAAAAAAAGATATATATATATATGCACATATATAATACTATATATTACATTATATATTATATATATAAATATATATATATATATAGTGTATGTATATTTTGTATTTTTAGTAGAGACAAGGTTTCTCCATGTTGGTCAGGCTGGTCTTGAACTCCCAACCTCAGCTGATCCACCCACCTCGGCCTCCCAGAGTGCTGGGATTACAGACGTGAGCCACCGCACCCGGCTTAACTGGGCATTTTATATTTTAATTTGCTAAATCTAGCAATCCTGTCTCCCTTCCAGCTGAATCTTTTTTTTTCTTTTTCTTTTTTTTTTGAGACAGAGTCGCACTCTGCCGCCCAGGCTGGAGTGCAGCGATGTGATCTCGGCTCACTGCAACCTCCGCCTCCCAGGTTCAAGCAGTTCTCCTGCCTCAGCCTCCCGAGTAGCTGGGATTACAGGCGCCCGCCACCATGCCCAGCTAATTTTTGTATTTTTAGTAGAGATGGGGTTTCACCATGTTGGCCAAGCTGGTCTTGAACTCCTGACCTCAAATGATCCACCCGCTTTGGCCTCCCAAAGTGTTGGGATAACAGGCATGAGCCACTGTGCCTGGCCTGAATTTTTTTCTTAATTGTTTTATTGAACTACAATATACAATCAGAATAGAGCAAAGACAGTTAAGTGTATGGCTCAGTGCATTTTCACAAGTCCGATGTACATGAAACCAGCACCCAGGTCAAGAAATGAAACATGATCGGAACCTGCCCCCCACCCCCACCCCAGGGTTACCAGGATCCAGCTTCCAACAGCTGAAGTTTGCCATTTGCATTTGTTTTTTTTAAGAGTTGGGGTCACCTGTAATCCCAGCACTTTGGGAGGCTGAGGTGAGTAGATCATGAGGTCAGGAGTTCAAGACCAGCCTGGCCAAGATGGTGAAACCTGTCTCTACTGAAAATACAAAAATTAGCCGGGCGTGATGGCAGGTGCCTGTCATCCCAGCTACTTGGGAGGCTGAGGCAGGAGAATCATTTAAACCCAGGCATAAAAGAGTTGGGGTCTTGCTATGTTGCCCAAGGTAGCCACGAACTCCAAGGCTCAAGCAATCTTCCCACCTCAGCATCCTGAGTAGCAGGGACTGCAGGTGTGGAGTACGATAACTGGCGTGCCCATGTTTGTACCTTATATAGATGAGACCATGTTGGTGGGGCATTGTGGCTCATGCCTGTAATTCCAGCACTTTGGGAGGCCAGGGCGACTGGATCACCTGAGGTCAGGAGTTCGAGACCAGCCTGGCTGACATGGCAAAACCCTGTCTCTACTAAAAATACAAAAAAAAAAAAAAAAAAAAAATTAGCCAGGCATGGTGGCACGTGCGTGACTGTAGTCCCAGCTACTTGGGAGACTGAGGCAGGAGAATCGCTTGAACCTGGGAGGCAGAGGTTGCAGTGAGCCAAGATCATGCCATTGCACTCCAGCCTGGCAACAGAGCGAGACTCTGTCTCAAAAAACAACAACAACAAAATGAGACCATGCAGATACATTTTCTGTGTCTGGCTGCTTTCCTCCCACACTGGAGGTCATTCATGATGTTGGAGGTGGTTGTGGTTCATTCATAATCACAACCCCGCCATAGGACTGAGCCGTATGGATGCAGTCTGATCTGTCTGTCCACTGTGCTGCTGCTGCTGCTGCTGCTGCTCAAGCCTTCTAGTACCTCTCCTTTTTTGCACCTTTGTACCTAGGAGTAGGATTGCTGGGCATGGGGTGGGCATCACGTCTTCAGTACATCTTGCCAGTTTTCGGCAGTGGCGCACCCATCGGTATCCTGCCAGCTGTGTGAGCGCCCATAACGCTGCGCCCCCACCAGCCCCTGGCGTGGCCCCAGTTCGTGTCGGCTCTTCCGGGGTGCGGTGCTGCTGCTGCTGCTGCTGCTGCTGCGTTTTGAAAAATCCAAGAGTCTGCTGCTTTGCTGAGTCCTCTGGCTTTCTTGACTCTTTCCTAAGAAAGTTTAAAAGCGCCCCGGGGTTTTAGACCCTAGATTAGTGCCTCTGTGATCCCAGCCACACCGGAGCTTTGAGGAAACCATTCCTGCCTCAGTTCCCCTTCACCCAGGGAGCCTCTCTGCATGCACGGCTGGGTTGAGAGGTCCAGGGGCCAGGGGTTCCAGGCACGGCTCTGGGCGTTCTCAGGGCTCTGTCTCAGCCTCTTTGCCTCCCTGTGGCTTCCTCTTACTGGTTCTCCCTCCAGGAGGCAGGATGGCCACCAGCAGCTGTCGTGGCCACCCTGCTGGAAAGGCCCACACGCCTGCACTTTGCTGATAGTTCAGTCACAGCCCAAGGCCACCTCTCAGTGACTGGGTCAGGAGATGGATTTCCCCAAGGAAAGCCCAGTGGATACTGGGTGAAAAGAAAACCGGGAAGTTTGGCCTCCGCAGGCCAGGTCAGTCACCCAGCCTCCCCCACCCTGCAGGGTTGACGCCACAAAGGAAAGAAGAGGCAGAGGTGTGTTGAAAAGCAGCGCCCCTGCCTCTATGGATCCATGGATATGTATCGGCAGAGGGGATGGTAAACTAAGAAAAGCCCTGCCTGCTCTGTGGGCCTCTTAAATGACCAGGAACTGGAGTTTTTGTGTGGACTTACTATTTAATTTTCTGATTCCGAGAGTTTCATTCCTCCTAGAGTACATCATAATGCTATCAGCCAATGGAGAAAGCCCTTTAGGGTACCCTAGATGGACGGTGGGGACCCCAGATGGAGGGTGGCTCCCACAAATTCCCCTCTCCATGGGTGTCCTGCCGCCTGCTCGGGCTCCCCGATTTCCAGCACACCCCCTCTCAAGCTGTTGCTTCTTCTCCCCCAGGCGGCTTCGAAGACAACTCAGCCTTGTGGTCATTGCTCGAATGCTGGGCCAGCAGGAGACACTCCCTCTCTGGCAAGAGAAGACCCAGGTGAGTGTTTGCTTCAGGCCTGGGCAGGAAGGCCACGGCCTGCGGGCTCTGGAGCCTTTCCCCAAAGGCCGGGGAACATCAGGGCCGAGACCTAAGCTGGATCTGAACTCTCTACTCATGTTCTTTCATCAAGAATTACCACTTGCGTGCCAGCCATGTGCTAGGCGGTGAGGACAGAGCAGTGAGCTGAGAGCCTGTCTTTTCTTAAAATGGTAGTGAAGGCTGGGTGCGGTGGCTCACGCCTATAATCCCAGCACTTTGGGGGGCTGAGGCGGGCAGGATCGCCTGAGATCAGGAGTTCGAGACCAGCCTGGCCAATATGATGAAACCCTTGTCTCTACTAAGAATACAAAAACTAGCTGGGCGTGGTGGCGGGTACCTGTAATCTCAGCTACTCGGGAGGCTGAGGCAGCGAATTCCTTGAACCTGGGAGGCGGAGGTTGCAGTGAGCATTTAATTCAAATAAATGAATTAAATTCATTTATTTAATTTTTTTGTAATCATCTTAACCATTCTTAAGCGTAGTATTTCAGCCATTTCTAAGTGTACAATTCAGGGACCTTAAGTGCATTCACACGGTTGTGCAGCCGTCACCACCATCCATCTCCAGAACTCTTTCATCTTCCCAAACTGAAACCCTACACTCGTTAAACACAACCCCCTAACAATGTCCCCAGCCCGGTTTTTTGTTGTTATGTTTTATAGTAAAGTATAAAAACAAATATTATTTGTAAAGATGAAAACAAATACTATTAAATTAAAACTACTCCCTCTGATGTCCCCTCCTAGTCCCCAGTGTTAGGCATTGTTAGGGCAGCAAGGGCATTGAGTTCGGCCTTCTGAGCCGGGCGCGGTGGCTCACGCCTATAATCCCAGCACTTTGGGAGGCCAAGGCCGGTGGATCACTTGAGGTCAGGAGTTCAAGACCAGCCTGGCCAACATGGTGAAACCCTGTCTCTACTAAAAATACAAAAACTTAGCCGGGCATGGTGGTGGGCACCTGTAATCCCAGCTACTCGGGAGGCTGAGGCAGGAGAACTGCTTGAACCCGGGAGGGGGAGGTTGCGGTGAGCCAAGATCACACCACTGCAGTCCAGCCTGGGCAACAGGGCGAGACTCTGTCTCAAAAAAAAAAAAAAAAAAAAGAGTTCGGCCTTCCTGTCCTGTTCCTCTTCTCTCCAAAAAGCTCTGGCTGCAGCCTCCTGACAGCTCAGAGGACATCACGAGGTGATGAAAGGGTCACTGGCAGGCCAAGCATGGATGGAAGGGAGGTTGAGCGTGCCCGCACCTCCCCAGTAATCTTCCTGGAATCCTGGAAGAACAGCTGCTAGGTACAGCTGACCCTTCCAGCTCAGCCACGCTAGGGGTACTCTGGCTAGAGTCTGTGCATCTCTAGCCACTCAGGCAGCATAACGCCTTGCCCAGAGGGCTGAGACACTGTTCCGGCACGTCCCAGGTGCTGTGACTGCAAGGAGGGAGTTCAGAGAAGTGACCGGTGGGGTTGGGTTGTCTGAGCGGCTTCGGCCTGGCTTTTGCCCTGGCTTTTGCCTCAGATGCCCCCTTTGCCTTGAGTGCTTCCCCCAGGCCTTAGTCGGGCTGGAGCTGCTTGTCGTTCCCACTCCAGCTGAAATGTCGTCTCCACAAGGGGCCTTGCTGGCCACCCGATCCAGAGTGCCCCAGCACTGGCTTTCATCTTGTCCTAAGTCACTCCTGGGGGCCACCCCCTGGTTTTTCCTGTTTGCTCAGCATCTGTGTTTTCCACCCCCTACCCCCAAGCAGAACGTAAGCCCTGAAGAACAGGGAACACGTAGTTTCTGCCCCCTGCTGCCCCTCGGCACCTGGCAGTGCCTGGCACACCCCGGGAAGGCAGTGCACGCTTGTGGAAGGGACAGGCACCCAGGTGGGTTGTCGGGGTGCATGGGGAGAATGTGCCCCAGGCTGAGACCTTGGGAGGGGCAGCGAGGAGGTGACCAGCACTGAGGTCACTTCACAGATGGTCTCTGTGAGGAAGGAAGAACAGAGGGACGCAGCGGTGTGGCTGGGAACAACCAGCAGTTAGAGGCAGCGGGAGCCCAAGATGGGGTGCTTGGGAGGACTTTGGGACGCAGACTGAGGGACAGGCCCAGCGCAGAGTGGAGGCCAGAGGGGGCGCACCACAGGTGGCCGGAGAGAGACAATGAGAGCCAGTTCAAGGCTTGGCATTTTGCTTCGTTTTGTTTTTCGTTGGCCAGCAGCTGTGCACAGAGTGAGGACAGCTTGGTGGGGCTGCCTTCCTGGTGGAGGGCAGAGTGGCAGCGGGGAAGTGTCATGGAGGAAGGGCTGACGGTCCTTGGGCCCAGGAGTTGGAGGCTACAGTGAGCTATAATCACACCACTGCACTGCAGCCTGGGCAACAGAGTCAGACACCTTTGCTTAAAAAAAAAAAAAAAAAGTGGGGAATGGGGGCGCAGGAGGCAGTGACTCACGCCTGTAATCTCAGCACTTTGAGTGGCTGAGGTGGGAAGATCACTTGAGCCCAGGAGTTCTTTACAAAAAGGAAAATAATTAGCTGGACATGGTGGCACGTGCCTCTAGTTCCAGCTACTTGGGGCAGGGATGCTGAGGTGGGAAGATGGCTTGAGCTCTGGAGGTCAAGGCTGCAGTGAGCCATGATGGCTCCAGTGCACTCCAGCCTGGGCGACAAAGCAAGACCCTGTTTTGTTTTGTTTTTTAAAAGAAAAAGATACATGGAGTGGCGCTGCCTCCCCTTGAGACATCCTGGCCCGGCAGGTCTTGCAGGCTCCCCAGGGGCCGGGGTCTTGCAGCCTGTCAGGGCCAAGCCAGGTCCAGGCCAGTTGCTGTGTGCCCACCATGCACCCGTGTGTTCGTTAGACACTAGCTGAGCAACCTGAGTGCCAGGCTCTGTGCCAGGTACTGGCACTGGGGAGACAGCACCAGATGACCTCAGAAGAGAGGGGTGAGCAAGTCGGCCACGGCCGCAGTGACTAACTCTGCCCAGGCACAGTGCGGCGGCTGCTAGAGAAGATGCCCTGAGCCAGGTCTTGGAGGCTGAGTCAGTGCTTGTACTGCAAAAAGCAGAAAGGGAGTGAGATGCATGGCGACCGGAGGGATAGGAAGGACCGGCAGGGGCCTGCCCATGGCCTTCCTGGAGCTCCCTCCCCGTCTCCACTGCAAGCCCAGGGCTGCTCACAGCCTCCTCCCAGGTCTTCAGGCTGCCAGGCACTCCCCTTTCCAGTCTGGCCTGTCAGACCTTCCTGAAACACTCCTTCAAAGGGCCACCTTGTCCCCACAGCCGCCCACTCAGCCCACATGCCCCTTTCCCAGCGTCTCCTCCACGGGGCTTACTAGTGCCGTGTGTTCTCCTTGGGCCTCCTCACAGGCCCTGCCTGCTCTCTGCACACAGCTCGGGCTGTGTCTGGGCCGCCTCTTCCTTTCCACCTGTCACCCCCAACCCGCAATAGTGGCAGCTCCTGTGTGCACAGCTGTGTCCTGGCTGCTGTCCTCAGCACTCGCCCCTCCTAGCAGCCCAAGGCCCTCAGACTTACTGTCATCCACATTTTATAGATAGCGAAACTTTCCAGGGTCACCCAACAGGGAAGTGGCACAGCTGGGACTATTTTATTTTTGAGGCTGTGTCTCACTTTCCCAGGCTGGAGTGCAGTGGTGTGATCACGACTCACTGCAGCCTCAACCTCCCTGGCTCAGTGGTCCTCCCACCTCAGCCTCCCGAGTAGCTGGGACTATGGGTGTGCACCACCACACCTGGTGAATTTTTGTATTTTTTATAGAGGCGTGGTTTCGCCATGTTGTCCAGGGTGGTCACAAACTCCTGGGCTCAAGCGATCCTCCTGCCTCAGCCTCCCAAAGTGCTGAGATTACAGGCATGAGCCACCGTACCCGGCCTAGAGCTGGGCTTAAAGTCCTGCCCTTGACCACTGCAGGGCACCGCCTTAGCCTGTCCAGCTCTCTCCTTGCCTCTGGACATCCTGGACCACACCCGGTACTTCATGGTGAAGTGCCCTGCTGGGTCCTTGGGCTTTAGTCCCAGTTCACAGACAGGAGGACAAGGACCGTCCCTCCTTTCCCTCATCAGTGCACAAGTGCTGGAGAAATTCTATCCATCGATTCACTGTGAAAGGGGGCACAGGGTTGAGAATTGGTTGGTGTAGGAGCAGAGGACCCGGGGCTGGATCTGGGCACAGCAGTTTGCAGGGCACTGCTGGGCAGGAGTCACCGATGGCCAAGTTGCTGGGCTCTGTATCTCCCGCAAGCTGCAACGGGGGTCCCATGGAGCAGGAGCAGAAGCACACGTTGGAGATCTGAACTTGAAGGACAGGACTTACAGCATTGAGGTCACACAGGCAAGTGGAGGTTCAGTTAGCCAGAGCCTCAAGGCTACAGTGAGGGTTTTGACTTTTACGCAGAAGTGGGGAGCCCCTGCAAGGTTTTGGGCAGAGAAGAAACAAAATCTGATTTATAAAATCTTTAAAAATTACTCTGGCTGCTGTGTTGGGAAGGGACTACTGGGAGTGGAGAGGAAGAAGGTGATTGCAGTAATCCTGGCAAGAGATGGCAGTGGTTTGGCCTGGGGAAATAGCAGTGTGGGCGGTGAGAAGTGGTCGGACTGTAGGTGCATTTCCCAAGTACAGACAGTGGGATGTGCAATGCAAGAGAACAGAGACAAGGACTCCAGGTCTGTGCAACAGGCGGGATGGAGACGCCCTTTGCCTACCCTAGGCAAGACGCAGGTGGAGCAGGTTTGGGGAGGAAATCAGGAGTTCGCTTCTTATCCTGGGGCACTTCTTGCAACACAGTAAACCTCTTGTCAAAGTATGTTTTCCAGTTTGGGGTTTGGAAAACGTGGGCTTCAAGTGACTCAAATCAAGGGGGATAAATGTTTGCATCTACTCAGAAAACGTTAGCTGCAGTCTCGACTGTTCACCTATTCATTCGTTCATTCCTTTGACAAATACTTACTAGACGTGTACCATGTGCCAGGCATGGTTCTAGGTTCTGGGGACTTTGCAGTAAAAAAACTGCCCTCAGAGAGCTTACATTCCAGGGAGGGAGGGGGAATAGGTGATAAAAAGCAAGTAAATTGCAAAAGGGCCAGGCACTGTGACTCACTCCTGTAATCCCAGCGCTTTGGGAGCCCAAAGTGGGTGGATCACTTGAGGTCAGGAGTTTGAGACCAGCCTGGCCAACATGGTAAAACCCTGTCTCTACTAAAACTACAAAAATTAGCTGGGTGTGGTGGTGGCCACCTGTAATCCCAGCTACTCGAGAGGCTGAGGCAGGAGAATTGCTTGAGCCCGGGAGATGGAGGTTGCAGAGAGCAGAGATTGCGCCATTGCACTCCAGCCTGGGCGACAGAGCAAGACTCTGTCTAGGTAGGTAGGTAGGTAGGTAGATAGATTACATGGATAGATGATTGATTGATTGATTGATTGATAGATAGATGATTGATAGATGATGGATGGATGGATGGATGGATGGATAAATAGACAGGCAGACAGATGGGAACTTGGGCAGGTGGGCCTTACTGAGAAGGTGGGTGTGGAGCAACAGCTGGGAGGGAGAGGTGGGGGCTGTGTCTGGTCAGAAGGCCCAGGCAGGGCACCAGCTCCAGGGAGCAGCAGGCAGGTCGTTGGGTCTTTGCAGACACTTGAGATCCTGGCTTCCTGTCCTAGGTGAGGAGGAAGCCAGGATTTGCACCCAGGAGCAACATGCTGTGTGGCCAGTTACCTCTCTGGAAATCAGCTTCCACCGCATCTTCCCTGCCTCCAAGAAGGCTGGTGGAGGCCTGTCTTCCTGAGGGATCCTTGCTTCTCGCTCCCGGTGTCTGCCCTAAGCGGCTGAGCGTTTGCAGAGCCAGCTGCCAGCAGTGAGGTTGAGATAGGGAGGCTTCTGATCTGACCCATCCCCGCGGGTTCCCGCAAGGCCCAAACAAGCCCTTATCCTGGAGAGGAGTTTGTGTGTGGGAGAGAGACTGGCTGGAGCATCCAGAGATGGAAACAAAAGGGAATAAACAGTCGGAAGGCACAACGGCGCAGGCAGATCGCAGGGGCAGCAGCTTGCTGCGCTGAGCACAGCCAAGCTGTTTTCATGAGTGAGAGGAAAAACACGAGAGCAAGCACCGCAAGAGTGCCATCCCTGCGCCCCTGCCCAGCCCTACCCAGGCCTCCCGTAGCAGGGAGGGTCCCGGCCGGGCGAGGCCTGCCCGAAGGCCACGCTGGGGGTGTGGATTGCAGAGGCTGACCCTGTGCTTGCACAGCTGTGAGCCCTGAGTGGGCAGGGCTGTTTTGGAAACTATCTTGACTTGTGAAGCCTGAGTAAGGCGGCACAGCTATGGTTTGGATGAAGCCCCAGATGGTGCCTCTCTTTGCCCAGAACCTTCCTCTCCCCTCCCAAAGGGATCAGACGCCAGGCTGAGAAGCCCTGGCCACCTTCCAGAAGCTAAGGCCCTGAGCCTGACTCCTAGCCCCCAGCCCCCAGCCCAGCTGCTCTTGTGGGCTGTCTCAGCCCATAACCGGCTGATGTGCTGAGCAGGTGGTGGGTGAGTCACCAGAGGAAGCCAGGTGTGCCAGCCAGGCTAGGCTCAAGGGGGGGCTGGGCTGCGGGGCTCAAGCCCCTGGCCTGTGATCACCCTGCTCCTGTGCCATCTAAAGAGATGGTGCCTCTGTGAACTACCTTGGCTCTGCTCCCGCTTACTGCCCGCCCTGCCCCCAGGGCTGTCGTGGCCTCACAGAGGCCAAGGGCTGGGAGCCTGCCTGCCTCTGCTACGACGAGAATTAGCTTCAGGGCAGCTGGGCAGTCCTTGCTGGGGCTGGGCCCAGGCTACCCAAATCAAGTGCATACACAGGGCCAGAAGGAGTGGCTAACTGTAGACACCTGGACTTTCGCAGGTCACGTTCCCTGCAGAGGGATTCAGAGCTTGTTTGTTCAGAGAGGTTGGGCAGTTTATTCAAAATCTAAATGGGGGCTGGGGCGGCTGATAGATTAGGTGCCATAGTCAACCAAATGCAGCGTGTGGGCCTTGTGGTGAATCTCCCTCCAAACAGAACAATGTTGGAGGACATTTTAGAGACAGACAGAACTGAACACGGGTGTTGGATGATGATAAGGAAGTCTCGGCGATTCTGTTAGGAAAGAAGTGGTATTATGATTAGATTGGGGGGAAATCTTTATATTTTCTGTAGAAGTTCTGTATAGGTAAAATGATACAATGTATTTGCTTTAAAATCCCCTGGAAGGAAAACAGCGGGAAGGGGAGTGGAAGGCTGGGGCTGAAGACACAGGGTTAGGCCACAGAGAAGAGTTAAACCAAGAGAGGGATGCAAGGGAAGGTGGGCGAGGAGGGGTGTGGGTGAGTGTGGGTGGCAGTCTTATCGGGGGGATGAGTGGGTTGGTGGGGGTGTGTGTGTGGGGGTGTCTGTGTATGTGGGTGAGTGGGTGTGTGTGAGTGGGTGTGGGTGGGGGTCTGTGGATGGGGATGGATGTGGGTGTGGGGTCTGGGGGGGTGAGTGGGTGTGTATGTAGGTCTGTGTATGTGGGTGAGTGGGTATATGTGTGGGTGAGTAGGTAGGTGGATGGGGTGGGGGAGTGTGGAGGTCTCGGGATAAGTGGATATGTGTGGAGGGGTCTGTGTGTATGGGTGGGTGGGTGAGTGGATGGGTGTGGTTGTGGGGTCTGTTGGGGGGGATGAGTAGGTGTGGATGTAGGTCTGTATGTGGGTGGGTGGGTGGGTGGGGGGTGGGAGGCCTGGATATGTGTGGGTGTGGGGAGGGTGAGTGGGTGAGTGGGTGGGTGTCAGGTCTATGGGGAGATGAGTGTGTGTGTGGGTCTGTGTGTGGGTGGGGGTGGGGGAGCTGGGTATGTGTGGGTGGGGTTGGGGGAGCTGAGTATGTGTGGGTAGGGGTGGGGGAGCTGGGTATGTGTGGGTGGGGTTGGGGGAGCTGGGTATGTGTGGGTGGGGGTGGGGGAGCTGGGTATGTGTGGGTGGGGTTAGGGGAGCTGGGTATGTGTGGGTGGGGGTGGGGGAGCTGGGTATGTGTGGGTGGGGGTGGGGGAGCTGGGTATGTGTGGGTGGGGATGGGGGAGCTGGGTATGTATGGGTGCCTCTCCTGGGAAGTGTGTGTGATCCATTTTACAGATGAGAACACTCAGAATCTGGGAGACCACAGTTCATAAGTGAGAGGTGGGTCTGGGTCTCAGAAGCCAGTGCTCTAACCCACTGCCATCAGCTGAGGTGTCCAGGCCAAGTCCTGGGAGTACCCCGAGCTCTCGGCTCGGCCACCGCCCTCTGTGAGTGACAACCTCCTTTCTCCTCCCCAGCTGTCCTCGCTCAGCCGGCTCCTGGGCCTCATGAGGCCATCATCTCTCAGGCAGTACCTGGGCTCTGTGCCCTTGCCACCCTCCCAGGAGCAACAGCCAAAGGCTAGTGCGGAGCTGGACCACAAGGTGAGTGAGCACCCAGCACCCGCCTGCCTCCGCCACAGGTAACAGGGAAAGGCAGGGCTGTGCACATTGCGTGGCCTGCGGGTCCTTCCAGAACCCCAGGGCCATGCCAGGGCAGACCAACAGGCGGCCTCCCTGTGCTGAGCGGAGGTGCTCAGCGTCTCACCTGTAATTAGTGCTGTTACCCGTGCTGCAGGCGGGGGACGCCCTGTGTGCGGGCATAGGGACCGAATGTCCGCCTGTCCCTGCTGGTGTGCCTTCTGTTGATCTGGGGTTGTCAGTTAGCCTTACAGCACAGTTTAGGGAGGATGCAGGAGCCAGATGCCAGCGAGGGGACGGGAGCACCTCAGGATAAGCGCAGGTTGTCTAGACGTGCAGGGCATCCCTTCTGCAGGCAGAGTTGGGCCCAGCCTCCCTATTCATTTTCACTATGGGTATCACTGAGGCTGAGTCCTTGGCCTGTCCCCAGTTTTTCCTAATTGACTTTCCAGACATTGCCCGGCTTTCCTGAAAGCCAAGCTCTGGTGGGAGTCAGGAGCAACGAGGGGCCCCAGGGCCTGCAGGTTGTGGAGTTTGGAACAGTGAGGCCTATGAGTCCCTGAGTGAATGTCAGAGCAGGGATGGTGGTGGGTGTGAGGGCTTCAGAGTGGGCATCCCAGGCCCAGCTTCCTGGGGAACAGGGCTTAAACCTCGGTGCACTCTCCTGCCCCTGGGGACTCGGGGATGAAGAATGGAGATAGGGATCGTCATAATTGGGGAAGGTGGTAATTCCAGAAACGCACTTGGAGGCTGGATGTTGATACAAAAGTCCAACCTTTGGGCATCACTCTGCAAATCAGATAAATGGATTAATTACTTAATGAACACAAATGAACCATTAAAGAGATACGCTTATCCCCAGGTGCACGCTCCTCTTCTGAAACATGTGGGGAAAGTTGTCTTTCAGTTGTGTCTAGTATTAGTGCATTTATGAGGCTGCTGCCTCCCAGGAGAGCGTGAGCTGTCTGCATGCCCCTTCTCTTGTGCCAAGTATTTCCCCAGAAACGAGCTGGTTATGGGCTGGTTATGGGGCCTCTAGAAGGAGGTGGGGGTCAGCCCTGGGGTGGTCTGTCTGAATAGAAATCAAGGAGGCCTGGGCAGGGGGCAAGGAACAAGAAGGCGAGTGGCGAGAGAGAGGAAAGAGGGTCACGTCTGGTCTGGCTAAGTGGAGAGTGTGGCCTGCAGGCACCTTGGGGGCCAGTCCTGGGCCTCACCTAGCAGAGGTGTGGTTCCTGCCCGACTCGCCGTGGTTCAGAGGCTATGTAGGTGGCAGAAGACGTCCTTTCAACAGCTGGGGAAGAAGGACAGCGAGCAGGCTGAGGATGCCTTTCTTTTCTTTTTTTTTTTTTTTTTTTTTGAGACGGAGTCTCGCTGTGTCGCCCAGGCTGGAGTGCAGTGGCCGGATCTCAGCTCATTGCAAGCTCCGCCTCCCGGGTTTTTACGCCATTCTCCTGCCTCAGCCTCCCGAGTAGCTGGGACTACAGGCGCCCACCACCTCGCCCGGCTAGTTTTTTGTATTTTTTAGTAGAGACGGGGTTTCACCATGTTAGCCAGGATGGTCTCGAACTCCTGACGTCGTGATCCGCCTGTCTCGGCCTCCCAAAGTGCTGGGATTACAGGCTTGAGCCACCGCGCCCGGCCAGAGGCTGCCTTTTCTTTAAAGGACAATTCTCACATACCTAAAGGAGGTTTGAAAGCCTCCCCCTGGTTGGCCTCCATACTGGAAATGACGTGTTTGGTCTGAAAACATGGAGGCCCTGTGCAGCTCGGCAGAGCCCGGAAGGGTGGTGTGCACCGGTCCAGGGCAGTGGAGGGCAGGCGAGGCCCAGGCAGCTCTCAGAAGGCCTTCACTGCAGCCCGAGACCACCTCAGACCACCTCTGCTGCGCTCCCCTACACCTCTGCCTCTGAGTGAGGGAGCCCCGGGCAGAGGAGGATGCGCGGGCACAGAAGTGTGAAACAGGCCCCTGGGCTGGGTTCTGTCCCCTGGGCTGGGCGCTGTTCTGACTGGGAGGGGCCAGGTGGGGCAGGTGACTGGGCTCCACGCCCACCCTGACCGACTGACTCCTCATTAGGCCTCAGCATGTTTCATCTTCAAAGAGGTGAGATGGGCCACTCAGCAGCCAAAAACAGCAGCGGCGGCATCCACCCTGTTTTATAAGGAGTGGTGGTCTGAGCCATGGCTGAGCCTTTCATGCCCACAGCTCAAAGTCTTTGCCTTTTCATTTCCCTTCAGTGCAATGGGGAAACTGAGGCCAGAGTAAGGTTGACCTGAGGCGGCCCAGCCTGGAGGAAATGCCTGCGTTCCCAGTCTTGGGGCAGCTGAACTGAGCCTCTGCCTTTTGATGCCCACCCATCCCCCAGGCCCTCTCACTCCTGTCTGGGAGATTTCCTGCCCTGTGCGGCTGGGTCACAGCCTTCCTCCAGCCCTGCAAATAAACACTCCTGCCCGGTTTCTTCCCCACCTCCTCTCGCTGCCTCAGGCCTTGGCCCAGCCTTTCCCTCTGGGAAGAGGCTGGGAGAGCTGCTGTTGGTGTCCAGGGCCCGACTTTCTCTCCTCCCTGACACCTTGGGAAGTAGAGTTGTCCCTTTGCTCGCCCTCGTGTCCAGCTCGACTGTGAGACAGCCGGCGTCTCAGCACCGCGTCCCACGTTTGGCACTGGATGGACAGATGAATGAATCCAGTTTTCATTCCTTTGTCCTTCTCTGAACTCCGGTCTTCCATTCTGTTCTGGCATTCGCTCTCCTGCCCCCATTCTAGAAACCTGCCTCCTGCACACCACCGGACCAGCCTCTGCGTGGTGGTCCCCTTGTCTCGTAAGGTCTTTGTTGTATCATTAAGTCCACAAGAGCTGATAGCCTGGCCTTCTCCTGCAGGAGGCCCTGGACTAAAGAAGTGTTACCTGCGTGTGGCAGAACCGATCCCAGCACATCGTTTGTAATTATAAGCTAGTGAGGTCCTGCCTGGGAAAGCACCAAGTACTTCAGCAAAGGAAGCCATGAGCTCCTGCTGCAGCTGTGCATGGGGGTCAGGAACTGGAGAGAGTCAGGGGCCACATAGGTGCCTGCCCTGGCCATGTGTCCTGGCTTTGACCACAGAGTCTCAGTAGAGCAGGCAGAGCTTATACAGACTATAAGAGCTTCTGTGGGCCGAGCGCAGTGGCTCACGCCTGTAATCCCAGCACTTTGGGAGGCCGAGGCGGGCGGATCACAGGGTCAGGAGATCAAGATCGTCCTGGCTAACACGGTGAAACCCCGTCTCTACTAAAAATACAAAAAATTAGCCGGGCGTTGTTCCAGGCGTCTGTAGTCCCAGCTACTCAGGAGGCTGAGGCAGGAGAATGGCCTGAACTGGGGAGGCGGAGCTTGCAGTGAGCCGAGATCGCGCCACTGCACTCCAGCCTGGGCGACAGAGCGAGACTCCGTCTCAAAAAAAAAATAGAAGAGCGTCTGTGGGCTATCCTGCTTAGCGAGCTGATAACATTTGTAGCATTTTGAAGAGCTTCTGGATAAAGAAAACAAAGCCGAGCCCCTTTGGGTTATCTGTGGCCGTGTGCGTGCCTGGTTGAGCTGCGCTTTATTCCCAGAGAAGAATGAGCGTCTGGTTCGGAGTGATGCTTGGGGGTCTGGTGCAGCCACGCGAGAGGCACAGAGGTGGCACAGGGTGTTTTCCCGTAGGAGAGTTAACACAGGCGCGTTTAATGCTCAGAGTTGGCCTCCAAGTGCTCCCTTTGGCCCGTGGGTACTGATTTGCCCTGACTGCCTTCCCAGGCAATCAAGGGAGACTGTCCTTCTGGCCGCAGGCGGAAAAATACTGCGTAACTTGACTCGGTTTGCCACTGTCTCTCCAAGCTACCACCTGAGCCCCCCAACCCAGAACCAGGGTCTTGGGGCAGTTTATTTCCTTGCAGTTGACTTGTATGAACCATATCTGGCCAGGTGTTGTCTGGTGTGTTCTGTCCAGCCTCAGGGCTCAGGGTCATGAAGGTCATAGCCTATTCACTCTTTTTTTTTTTTTTTGAAACAGGGCCTGTCTCATTCTGTTGCTCAGGCTGGAATGCAGTGGCACCATCAGGGCTCACAGCAGCCTCGCCTTCTCAGGCTCAGTAGATCCTCCCACCTCAGCCTCCCAAGTAACTGGGACAGGCATGTGCTACTACACCGGGCTAATTATTTATTTATTTATATTGACTGATTGATTGAGACAGAGTCTCACTCTGTCGCCTAGGCTGGCGGGCAGTGACCAGATCTCGGCTCACGGCAACCTCCACCTTCCAGGTTCAAGTGATTCTCCTGCCTGAGACTCCCAAGTAGCTGGGATTACAGGCACCTGCCACCATGCCCAGCTAATTTTTGTATTTTTAGTAGAGATGAGATTTTACCATGTTTGCCAGGCTGGTCTCGAACTCCTGACCTCAGGTGATCTGCCCACTTCAGCCTCCCAAAGTGCTAGCATTACAGGCGTGAGCCACCATGCCCAGCCCATTTTTTATTTTTCTATTTTTATTTTTTTATTTTATTTATTTTTTTTTTTTGAGACAGAGTCTCGCTCTGTCGCCCTGGCTGGAGTACAGTTGTGTGATCTCGGCTCACTGCAAGCTCCGCCTCCTGGGTTCACAACATTCTCCTGCCTCAGCCTCCTGAGTAGCTGGGACTACAGGCACCCACCACCACGCCCAGCTAATTTTTTTGTATTTTTAGTAGAGACGGGGTTTCACTGTGTTAGCCAGGATGGTCTCAATCTCCTGACCTTGTGATCCGCCCGCCTCGGCCTCCCAAAGTGCTGGAATTAAAGGCGTGAGCCACCGCGCCCGGCCCATTTTTTATTTTTTTTATAGAGACGGGGTTTCGCCACGTTGCTCAGGCTGGTCTCAAACTCCTGAGCTCAAGCAATCCTCCCACCTCAGCCTCCCAAAGTGCTGGAATTACAGGCGTGAGCCATCTCAATGGGCCCCGATTCACTAC